GCTGTAAACAATCAGCGTTTTCGACACAAATTCAGCATTTGGATGAAAATGAAATGACATACGTAGGGTTGACTTTCTATACTATGTGTAATGCTTTAATAATTGATACGTTTAATTATTCGGTTAGAGGACGAGAGATAATTTAAATATCTATATAAATAAAATTACAGTTTTGTCTGTACATTTCTTAGAATCATGCAGTTTTTGGTTATTTTTACGTTTCATAGGCTAAGAAAGCCGAAACGAGTCTTATCTCAATTTCTGTCTGTATGTCTGTTTATCTGTTTGTCTGTCCATTCTGTGGTTGCGTCTGTAACGCCAAAATGTCATTTTACGCGGCCTACTCCTAGAAAACTAGATTACCGATCAAGGTTCTAATCATTTGTCTGTATTTACTGGATTGGTGAGAGTGTCTTTGGCTATAAAAACCTGGCCTCGCTTCTTTGAACACAAAATAACGTGTTATCAAAAACCCAATTTTGTTCGATTTTTGTCAAATTTTCTCCTAATGTTTACTATTACATTTGATGAAATAACGATCAGCTGTTTGGATTAGTTCTCACTTCTAGCTGTCACTGATATGTGTACAGTAAAAGTTGTTTACAAATACCGCAACCATTTCCGATCAAGTTTTGTTAGCACATCCAAACCAAGTGAGATTAAAAACGTTGTGCCTTACAAAAAAGGTTTCCATTCATTGACGGCGCTTCAAGGACAGTTGTGGTAAGTGCAAAGTAAAAAATCACAACTGCAGTGGGTGACTGGGTGATCGTGGATGTTGCTGCGATCGTGGAAGATCTTTCTGATTTTGCTGTGATCGTAACAGAGGTTTAACTTACAGATGTAGCTAAACTCAATTTTCCGATGTGTCACTTTTGGTTTTTACTACTTACATTTCGACAACGATATCGGTACTTTTCCTACTTAGGAAGTAAAACTACAAACGTCCAAAACCCCAGATTTGTGCGTTTTTTGTCACATTTCCTCCGAATGTTTGCTAGATATATGTACCAATTATCGTTTAGAGAGAGATTACGTAATATTTTACATAAGAAACCTTTGTTTGGATAAAGGTGGTTTCTTCAAACTGTCATTAATATGTTAACATTGAAAGTTGCTTACAATTAATGCTATTATTGGGAAATAACTTTGATTCTCGAAAACTTAAAAGACATTTAAAACCAAGGGAGATTAATAACTTCGGTACTGCACCACATCAAGTGAAAGTTTTTTTTTAGCAAACCATAGTGAGTTTTAAAGCTTTACGTTGTTAATGTTACATGTTACATGTTTTGTGGCCTGTGTATTTATTTATTTATTTATTTGCCAACGGATTAAAACCTATATAAAACAGTTTGATTAGAAGGACAGTTTGAATTGGTTGCAACTACTATAGTTCTTTTCTTAAATGTAAACGTTGGTTTATGGTACTGCTACTTTTCCTTAGAACCGGTGGTAGCAGTAAGAATCATTTTTATGTAGAAACACATCACTATTTACAACTATAGTTATCGTTAGTGCTGCACCTTATTTCTTATTAAATTTAATTGATGTCCTACTGTATAATTTTTGCGTTTTCTGTCTGGACTCCAAAATGTTAGTTTATGCTATGAAATGATAAAACATTATTGAAAGATTTTTTAGCAAACCATCATGAATTTTTAAAGCTTGGCGTTGTTAGCGAATAAATTTTTTGTGGACTGTGTATTTATTTACTTATTTATATATTTACCAACGGATTTACACAAATTTTACAGTTTGATTAGGCCTAAAAACGATTATCATAATATTTGATGACACTATCAAAACTTTCAAATAATTATTTTGTTTGTAATTTGCTTTGGTTAAAGCGTAGCAAATCCCCTAACTGCTATTGTGTGTGTATGTCTGTTGGTAGCGCATTAATGTCCTTATTTCTCAGTGTTTCTTGGAAAAGACAAGAGCACCTTTGTTATTGAAAATTTCAACCCGAATAAAGTGTGCAGTAGTTTTTGGTTGAGGTAGTTTTTTTAACTTTTTTTAATCAGTGTGAAAAGTAACTTTCAATTACAGGTCTACCTTAGGGCTATAGATCTATAAAGCAATTCCTTTTATCATTAGATATAAAATATGGACTAACACGATCGGGTGACATTTAATTGCGAAGCATTCGTTCTGGCTTTGAAACTGTCAGATATTGTATTTGCGAAGGATTATATGTATTCCTATACAGTAATAGTTTTGCTAGCATATCTGGAAAAATGCACACTAAATATGCAGACCAACTCCTGTTCTGAATATAAGGTTTCAACTTACTACAAGATTCCCGTACGTAGAACAGCTAGTACAAAGTAAAATTAAAATAATAGATGTTCTAATTTATTTTTTCAACAGTCTATAAAATCTTTAGTTTGTTTTAGTGCAATATAATTTGTTATAACTAACAGCTGGTTGAATATACAAATATTCTAAGAACTATGAGGTTAGTTTATGAACGAGTTAGTTTATGAGTTTTGCATAACTCGAAATATACGTCAATAAAAATGAATGCCGATTCTTGATTGCAAATCTGTAGTGCGTCCATACCTTTAGTTTGAGGCCAAAATTATGAAAATCGGCCGAGTAGAAGAGCTAACCCGACTCGGAAAAGAAAACCCAAATAAATATTATCATAGATGACCATAGGTGGTTTATCAGTATGCATAATCTAATCATACGAAACCTTTTGTGTTAGTAATTAAACGGCTTATTGTTATTTGATTGATTTGTCTTTAATGAATAAATGTAATAATGTTGTCGTTAACAATTTGCATTTGTGTTTAAAGTGAATTATTATTCTAATGTTATGTGCTTAATCTGTACCATTAATATTAGTGAGTAAAGTGGTGTATGGATTTCAAAACCATTAATAATCGTGGAATAGATATGACAATTGAATAATTATTTTCTCCTAGCCAAGCAAGTGTACGGTAATTTGTACAATTACTACTTTACAGAAAACGGTCTCATTAGTCAGCCCGCAATACAGCAGTGCTTTGGTAAAGTATCCTACATTTTGCAGGCGTAGTTACGAGTGAAGTAGTCTCCAGTTGTCCGCCGCACCGTTTGGTTTGGTCGGCCAAACCAAACTGTGCGACTCAGAGGCAAGTGGGAGGGATTGTTGGTCTCATGCTCCGCCGGCCGCAGACCTTGCGGAAACTAGCGCGGGGGAGATTGACCGCGGTGGACCTAGGTATGACTCCCAATATTTTTTCTAACATTAAATTGCAAGGTATTACCAGGTTCCCATACGTTTGATTAGAGAAAAATTCTACGACAAAAACAAAGTCTTTTCTACGACACTCAGGATATTCAAACAAAAACAAGACTAGGATTTTACCTCAAATTTGTTGGCATAGAGACTAATTGTCCAAGCTCAAACACAGTCACGCTCGCGACTTAACCCTAGATCTGGCGGTCATTTTATTCACCAGTGGCGGGTATATTTTGGCGCTTTTGTAGTGGTATCATATATTTTGCCACAGAACATTTATTTGTGAATATAAGTACACACATATATATATTTTCTATTTCAGTGATGAATTTAGAATATAATAATATAAATATATTCTTTTCCTAGCAATGCGTTTAGGCGTAGTAGCAAAAGGTTTGCAAATTTTTGGATTATGCAAATTAGAAATTTCAAAAGCAACCCACAAGAAAACCACAAAATAATTTTTTACACATTTTATCTAAATGTAAAGTTTGTGTGAAATATGATTTCCTACGTAGAAATATCAATGTTTTTTAAATACTCATAAAAATAAAATTATAAAAAAATGAATTCTTCATACGTATTTTCTTTTTTGAAAAACTACCAAATTTCTTTTTGTCACGTAGGAAATAATAGAATGCATCAACAAAAAATGAAATGATACTGTACAATAGGTAATAAAAAGATCTTTCTGAAAATATATAGTTATATTTAGTTGAATTCTAAAATGTCGGAGAAATTTACGTCGGAATGTATAATTTTGAAGATTTTTTTACAAAAACATAATATTTATGACATTTTTAAAAACAAATAAAATTTTTACAATCAACCTTATAGATTCACAGGGAATTGTAGGGAATTTATTGTAGTTTCAGAATATGTACTAATATTGTATACAATTTAATTGACAATCGCCAAAAACAGCTGTTTTTGTAGTCAGGTGACCAAAACTTTCCACCGCCAAAATCTATTTTGAACTCTCTAGTTTTTCAAACTACCGTTTCTCACTACATAATACTCACTGAATAATGTTTTATGCATGAAAATGAATCCTCAGAATCTCATCTTTCTAATGGTATAAGATTTGTTGCGTTTTAAAACTGTTTTCATATTTTAATAATAGAAAAACCCGACCCATGTCATCTTGGTCTATAATCGACCAGCGCCACTGAGAACTCACGTTTTAGTGGTCTAAAATCGACCAGCGCCAGATAGAGGGTTAACAAGCGTTACAACCTGACATAACCGAGAAATAATTGAACCCACAATCTATTTTTTATCTGTTTTCTGACCACAGTGTTGACTTCTTAGACCACTCAGAATATCGTAATTTTAAATCATACTAATAAAATAAATTAATCACCCTCACACATTGTCTCTAAGGTTTCTGCACATATCAGATACAATTTGGAAAACTATAGACCACTACCACTAGAATAAAAACCATACCTACTCCCCACTCAGAATGTTCCGAATAATGTTTTTAACAGACTTGAAAAACAAGTTTTATATTTTGAATCGCTGAAGCTTGAAGTCTATATAAATTACACAATTGTAGTTAAGACTTAACTAGAAATCAATAATTAGGCGTTTTGCAGCAAAAACATGGTAAAATAATAAATATAATAAAAATTCCAGGACGAATATCAAATAAGGACAGTGTGCTAAATTAAAGGAACTTTCCAGGCTTTCCAGAACAAACTCAAAATTCCAGGGTTTCCAAAACGTGTGGGAACCCAGTAGGAATAAGTATTTATCAATATCTTACCGGTTGTTAATCCCAAAGCATTACTGATTTCCTTCCAGTCATATACAAGCTCCTTTAATAGAAATCTTTTTGTGCTTTTATTTGTTTTACTGTGTTCTACCAAAATATGATGAACATACTCTGAGAGGTAAGTAAATAAAGCCATTTTCAGTTTTTGGTGGTTCTGAAATCAATTCATTACAGACATGAAACACATTGTACAAGACCAACATCAAATTACATAGGTAAAATAAGAGCTGAAAAAAATGTCTGCAACAATACTGAAGGAAATAAGCCCTATTGAGTGCTCTGGTTAGCTTGGAGGATGACTTTTCCGGTAAAAAGTTTAGGTACCGTACCTGCCTTGTGAACTATTTATATTAAAAAGTGAAGGTTTTATTTTATAAGTTCTCTTATTTATTTTTTTACCCAGCAATAGGCTGCACTTTAGTTTACGTCCTACACTCATTCAATTCATTCAATATGGTAAGCTAAAGTGCAGCCCAGCAATACTTGTTGATTGACAGTAGGGCCTACTGCCAGTGTCATCATCAAAATTAAGTTATGCTTTTAAAAATACCGTATTTGTATTTAAGTCCAACCTAGAGCTTTATCCAACATTAACCTAACTTTAGGCTACATAGGCTATTTAATGTTTTACAAATCAACAATGTAGGCCTAAACTTAAAAATAAATAAAATGTAGGCTATTAAAAAAATATTACAAACATGTAAATATTTACAGATGGGCTACTTATCCTTTAAGTCCTTGGCCTAGTTTTAAGTTTCGAACACCTTTACAAAATAGAATTCAAAATACCGGTACCTAGAAATATTTTCTGTTCCATCGTTTTAAAATTAAGGGGTTAAAATCGTTAAAAGAACTTAACTTAAGTAGGCTACTGTTATGAACATGGATAAAAATGATTAAGATTTTTTGGTAATTTGTCATTGAGGCTATGAGTTTTCCCTCAGATTATTTCTTTGTATAAAGTTATGGAGCAATGACTGAGCCAGACTAAGGTAAAACTGACCAAACTATCATAATTTGAGGAGGAGATGTCGAAAGAAAAGATTATTGTCTATAGCCCTGCACATTGAACGCTCCAGTAGTGGTGGTGACGTAGTCTCCGATCATGAGACTATTGTTGACAGGGAAGTGAGCAGTGTTGTCAAGCACCAGCTGATGTGTCTGAGGGGATGTAGAGAGGGTGGAAGAAATTCCGCCACTGATGAGCTGGGAGGCACCTGTGGAAGTGACAGTTCCAGACCCTGAACCTGTCCTTTGCCGTCTGGTACTGCTGATGGATAATGGATGGATGTTAGGCTGACTGACAGGCACACAAACAGCTCCCAGACCTGTGAGGCTGGTATGGTTCTGAGTAGCTTCCATTTGAGCTTCGCCTAAGCCATTAACTGATATACCATTAACCATATCGACTGCTTCTCGAGCTCCTTGTTCATCCAGCTGTGTCCAGTAGTCTTCTGAAGGTGAGGTTGTAGCCACGCCGGGTGGTGTTGGTACAGGCTGTCCATTATATCTAAAGCACGGATTCTTTAAGTCTAGAGTGTTTACTGATCGAGTCTGTTCATTCCCATCAACACAGACATCTATTGTCACATCGTAACTCTGCCTCTGGTTAGCTTGGAGGATTACTTTTCCTGTAAGGAGTTGACCCGCCTTAGCAAAGATGGGGTTCTCCAGAAGACATCGTACTTGATACCAGTGGGTCAAATAGTTTGTAGGAGCCGTAGACAACCAGATGACCTGTCTACTTCCAGCGAATGCGACATCAAACCAGAAAGCTAGTCCATGAATTGTGCCTGTCTCAAACAAGTTGAATTCAAGAGGAATTTCTATTCTATGGAGGTCGGATTCATGGGCGTATCTAAAGTCAACCTTATGCTTGAGAGACTTTGCCAAGCATATTCGTATGTCAAAAGTGTCAACAATGGGCTGGCGGAAATACTCCTTCATGGCGGCATCCCTCACAGAACTGAGATCTACTCCATGGAAGTTGGTCTGTACCCAAAAGTTAGCTTTGCTAGTCTGTTCCTGAAACAAGGAGTCGTCCATAAAAGGAGATACGTTTAGTTCTGCTCTGGTAGGGAACATTATACCATTAGGTTTAAGCCATTTCTTTGCATGTAAGTATGTTTCTAACATTCTTTCGTTGTACAACATGTATCCCATTGGTTCTGATATCATGATATCAACCATTTCTGGTAATTCAATTTCCTCAATTTTACCTGCTATCACATGAATTTTGTCCTTTAAGTTGTTGGACGATACTAATGTCTCTGCATGAAGAGCCATTGAACTTGCCTCCACAGCATACACTCTCTTGGCTCCTGCTTGTATAGCAAAGAATGACAGGATGCCTGAACCTGCCCCGACATCTAGGACAACCTTATCCCTAAAGTCGTCTGAGTTACCGAGTACTGCCTTCTGATATGTGCTAGTTCGGGTGTAGTCTTGTAACATGTTTTGCTGCTGTGATAGATATCCATAAAACTGGAAATACTGGATGGCAGAAGAATCATCAGTTCTTTCAGAAAAAACAGAATTCTTCCTAACTTTAGCTTCACTAATAAGAGAATGAAAACGGTTTAAATCTAGTGCTTCTCTAAACCTGAGACACAAACTCTCATTTTCATTATTGAATATATATGACTTGGTTCCTATCCGAGCACATTCAGACAATCTATCCACAGTAAAATCGTACACATCGTCACTTCTGCCATTATTTAAGTATCTTTTTAATTTAATACTTAGTCCTTGAGGGTCGTATTCCACTATCACTGTCACTGGGAATTCGAATAATGGCAATAAATCCCCATCATTTCCAACACGTGAAACGACTACTGAGTTAAACACTTTCGCCATTATTGTTTGAATGATAAAATGCGAATCATTTCCCAACTAATCGGAAATTTTAAATAAAGAAACACAACCCACTAAACTATGCGAAAGATTTAAAATACTGAGATAAACATACAGTAGTCTAACTTTAGTCTGACCTAACCTGTACCGTTCAACTTGTACCAATTCACCCAGCAGTAAATACAAAGACTGTAAGTGAAAAAAAGTAAAACACTGAACACTGGAGGATGTCTAGACTTTTATCCATGAACCTACGACGTTTCGTGTGGTTGTGTCAATTAAATACTGGAGATAAAATTAATAATGATAGCAGCAAGGTGGTGAGCAAAGGCCCACACACTAGGGCCAGGGCGCTTGTGCGCGCACATGTGACACGCGAACAGCTCGACGCGCATGCGCCTCAATGTCACAATGTGTGGGTAAATGTGCCCGCCCATGCTCGCGACGCGCATGCGAGGTGCCTGGTGCCTGCCGCCGGACCTTTGAGCATCATCACAAGTGCGCGAGCTTGTTATGATGCGCGCCAGTCTGTGGGAAACCGAGGCACATGTTCGTGAACTAGCAGTACAAACCATAGCTGCATATACTGTAAATCGGGAACTACAAGGTCTGCGCCTGCGTGGCACAGTGTACATTAACTGTCCCACGTGTTGTATTTTATTTGTCCTTGTTTTTTGGTTATGGACTTTTTGTTGTGCGGTTATGTCCTTTAATGACATAAGAAAGTTTTGGTCTGAGTTTATTGAGCTTTATAGATCACAAACGTGTTCTTGGGACGTGAAAAGTCTAAGCTTTTCAAACAAATAAATGAGAAAAGAAATCAAGGAGCTATTGATAACAAAATGCAAAGGAGTGTTTCCTGACAGTTACGATAATTTTGTGAAGACTGAAATTAACTCTTTGAGATCTTCATATCGATGTGAACCAATTAATTATAACTTATTAAACTAATTAAATCTCATTCTATAACCCTTATACCCTTATATTAAATAATACCACCCTTTATCTTTAATACCTTATTTCTCACTCTTTTAGTCCCATAAGCGTATTGTAAAAAAACATAATACAGTACATACAACTAATAACTCACCCAATTAATTGAAGTATAATCCCGTCTGATATCTTTTTTGAAGGAAAATTTTATTCTTTTATGACTTTGCTTGCAACTTAAAAGAGTTTCCTTGTTAAAAAAAATAGAAAATGAAAAACAAATAGTAAAAATAACATGGTGACGATACAATGGAGTTTGTTAGAATGGTTTCAATATAACTGTTGAATTTGCTGTTATAGCCCACTATTAGCATCGTCAAAGACGGTGGTGCGCGCGCATGTGCCTCGAGCCGCTCGCAGTCACCTCGTCACGAGCCACGCAAGGCACATGCGCGCTAGTGTGTGGGCCGCTTTAGTGTCGAAGTAATTTTTTTGTCCTGAGTGTCTGAGTGATAACTCCGCTCAATTTGTAGATGCCTCTATAAACACCACATTAGTAAGGTTGCTGAATTTTTATTCCAGGATTAGTTTTGCCAACAGTGTTATTTGGGGGCTTCTGATTGGCTGAGGGAACACCATTACCGCAACGATACGGTTTGATGCCATCGGCCTAGGTGGCATAGTGGATAGAGTGCCGGACTGATACACTGAAGGAGCCGGGTTCGAATCTCACCCGTAGCACTTTTTTGTCTTGGATTTTTTCATTACCAGCAAGTTTGGTTGGTTTGGGTAGGTTTTGACACTTTAATTTTATAATTAAAACATTATTAAATTGAATTTGAGCCATTTAAGTATGTGTCAGAATGCTGATACCGTTTATTTTGTCTTGGATTTTTTTCATTATCAGCAAGTTTGGTTGGTTTGGTTAGGTTTTGACACTTTAATTTTATAATTAAAACATTATAAAATTGAATTTGAGCCATTTATAGTTTTATTTTATGAACAGAACTATTTTTCGATTAAGTAAACCTTCATTCGATTTTGCATTAATCAGCAAGTCTAATTAGTTTGGTTATGCTATGACAGTTTAATTTTATAATAAAAAAATTATAAAATTGAATTTGAGGCAGGATGGATGGATGGTTGTTTGTGACAAGTAAACGCGAAAAATATTTGGTCGGAATTTGGTGTGATGATAGCTCATTCCCGATTAACATATAGATGCATCTTATCTCAAAAATCCTTTCAGGCTCCACCCCAGTTGCTCTGGACTTTCCCATGTTAACCATATATTTAAAAGGAATAACAGAATTTTGTCAGCTGTTTCAATCAACTACCATAGCTAAAGCAAAAGCATCACCTGGGGCCCATTTCATAATAAACTACAAGTTACAAGTTACAACTTGTAACTTGTAATTTCCATTAGATTTGCATTGGGCGATCAGCTGATTTACTAATAATATTAGTTTGTACTTTATTATGAAATGGGCCCCTGATTGTAACTGTCAAATTAGTATGTATTTATTTTGATTTGATTGTTATTGTTTTTATAATAATAAAATATCACCTGATTGTAACTGTCAAATTAGTATGTATTTATTTTGATTTGATTGTTATTGTTTTTATTCTTATTTTTTATTGCGTTTTTATTGTGTTTTATTATTATTATAAAAACAATAACAATCAAATCAAAATAAATACATACTAATTTGACAGTTACAATCAGGGGCCCATTTCATAATAAAGTACAAACTAATATTATTAGTAAATCAGCTGATCGCCCAATGCAAATCTAATGGAAATTACAAGTTACAAGTTGTAACTTGTAACTTGTAGCTTATTATGAAATGGGCCCCAGGTGATCTTTTGTTTGCAAGCCGAGTGACGTCAGAATATGATGGGAATAGCACACCCATGTTTTTTCCTTCCACCATAATATATAGTAGTACTGAAAATCGAGAAATCCATGGCCATGGTGGAAGGAATGGCTCATATATTGCAAGTACGCCAACAGCAACAGACGGTTAGTCGGAGAAAAAGTAAGCAAAGTAAAGTGACACGAAACACGACCGTCTCGCCGCAGTAGTAATCCTACCTTTTATTTGGAGCTGCAACTGTTACATTTGCGTTAAGTGTCGCTCTGTGGAACAGATTGGATGGAACCGCTCCTAATTCTGATAACTAGTCCCTCCCTTCACCACTCGCGACGTGCTCGGGACTCTGTCTGCCTGTCTCGTTCTCGTTTAGCGGTTTAGCATAGTGAAGGTGTTTCTCATTCACTTGTATTAATTATTGATAGTTAATTAATTAATGCTTGTAAGTCGATATGTCAAACAAGAGTTAGGAATGTTTAGTTTGTAATAAACTATTTTCTTTTCACTAAATCCAACTTATCGTGTTATTTTGACATGTCTATCGTCTAAGTCTAAGACCGGGGGGGAAAGGAATCACAGTAAGATTTTGTAACATATGGTCCTATTCAAGGCTACTTACTACCCATGAGTTCAGTGGTTGATGTTTCCAAATTCCATAAACTAAAGAAATGGGTTATTATGAACTTACTACTCTTTTTATTTTTTAAACTTATTTTAATTAGCTTAATTAGTCAATTCTAAGCACACTGTTTTCCTTTGTAACTTTTGTGGCAAACGCCTTCAACCAAAATTTACGGTTGCCTCGATTTAATGTAAAATTGCTGAGTTCATAAATACAGAAATATGAACAAGAAATATAAGGTTTGTTATGATGGTCTTTCTGACTTAATTGTGAGATCTTTAAAATTATAAACTATAGGGTGGTCTGCCGTTACACTTTAGACGCATAAATGAGCGAAGCATTATTTAAAGATTGTCAATGGCTAAAGCAGCTAACAACCTACAATATGTTCCCTTTCAACAGATTCACAGTTTGTTTGCCCGATATTATTTAAGTTCTAAAGAATGACAAATTTATCTGATACCGGTAGTTCATTTATTTAGTTAAGAATAAGAATAAGAATTGATAAAAGGTTATTAGACATGTGTATTTGACATTTAGTTTAAACGGTCAGCTTCTTTCTTCTTTGCCCAAGATCCGTGTCTGTTAATTGACAACAATCGGTCTAGTGAAAATGGTGGATCCAGAAGCAGGCGGCCTTCAAATGTCTTAACTTGATAGGCCTACTTAGGACAACCCTAAGCCATATTCTGAAGATCCAATGTCCACAACAGCTTGGTCCACAGTTACACCTTGTGCTTTATGTATTGTTACGCTACTTTGAGTGGAAATTGCTTCCTTACACAAGATACGTTGGTTTATTTGAAACTTGAGCTTTGGATAACAATAGGTATTTCACCTTTCGTTTAAAGTGGGTCCATTATATTTATCAAATTTCACCATAATACATAACGGAATTTCTGACATCGGAATGCGGTTTTCTGTTGGAGAGTATATCCTTTACAAAGCCAAGTGCACCATTACACAATACTTTGTCCATAGATTTTTCGTTAGCATCACGCAACATCCGATTGATAGCAATAGCTTTGCTGACAATCCTTGAGCTTCTTAACCTAGGATGAAAGTAAACATTGAAATGTAAACAAAACAGTTACAAACAATTAACATATGTTTATCTTATTTAAATTAAACGAGATAAACCCATGTCATAAACCCATAATTTTTCTTTCAACTTACATTAAAATAACAAGCAAAATTGCGTGACCCGTAAAATGAAATCCAGAAGGAAATTTGCAAATATTTTTTACCATAAACATTGTGCTCAGTATTCTTTAGCTGTTGGCCAAATTTCATATCAATTGGTCAAGCCATTACATTCTGATGCTCTTACAAAGAAGTTACAAAGTGAGGGAAAGTGAGCTTCGCTCAATAATACCCCAGCCACAGCAAACCTGCAGACTAAGTGAATTCCCATATGCCTGATTGGATTTACACTAAAATGTCTCCTTAAAATATCACATTCCCTATTTAAATATAATAATTAGTTTAACGAGTAGTCGAGTACTTAGGACAGGTTTGATGCAACAGGGAGGGTCAAAAAGTTTTTTTTTTTGAAATGTTAATAGTTTAGTAAGATATGAATGCATTTCCCAAATTTGATCAAAATATGTTTATAGACAAGCAAACTAAAACAGTTTACTTATTCTCCATAAGAATAACATGGTATTAAATTTAATTAATATTTTATTTTCTCTGTAACCATTAGCCACAATAATGTTTCAATATACTAAATTATTTGTTTTTTAAGCTCTACAAAATGATTTGGAAAGAAATTGCTAATGGTTAAATTTTATGTTTTTTGTCAAAAATGGGAAAACCCACTTTTTAAGGTTTAACTTTTTCGTTCTTTGAAATGTTTATTTAACCAAACTCTGGCAAAGTACCGTAATCTAATCAAAGGCAACCATCTAAAAGGGTTTAATCTTGTATTTCCAACTGGGTGAGCCAATTAATTAATTATAAAGAGAGAGATAATTCTAACTGGAACCACTAAAAAAACGACAACATAATAAACAAAACAATTAATTGTTAACAAGACAAATTAAAGGGCAAAGGCAGAGTCAAGAATGTCCTTGTTGTATTATTTTGTTACATTTATTCAGTTCCTTCTCAACTGGAATGAGTAATCTTACCACGGCCGCTCTGTTACCGCTCCGTGGCCGCTAGGAACATGTTCCTAAGCTCTAAAAAAATACAGGATTATTACTGCGGCGAGACGGTCGTAAGATAAGATAACTGAACTGAACTGAGTGACTGAACTAGTGTCAAATTTGTTGTCTGCTAAAGCTTGATTGTGTTTTCGTTTTGTGTTTTGTTTTTGTCATCGACCACGACCACGGCACGACTAAATCCATCTAGCTTAAATTCTAAAAGCGACTCAAAAATAAATCATGGATCATACATAAGGCACCATACTAAAAAGTTGTGATTATTTCAAAGTGTATAAGTTAACAATAAGCCCGATTTAAATGAGCTACTTCGTAGTTTTTAAAATGGACCCGGAATATGACAATGTCAAAACGGAGGATAGCTTTAAAGACATAGAAATAATAAAAGAAGATATGATAAGACCAAATCAAGAGGATGAGGATCCTGAAAGTGCAACAGAAGAGATAGATAGTATTCCTGAACCACAACATGTTACAAACTGGGATATATTAGTGTTGCTAGTTTCAATATTTAGTCATATTATAGACGTCGCTTTAGATATCAATCTGGCTTATCGATATTTTAGACATAAACAAACAGTTTATTTTGTACTCACAGTAGTTTTCATTCTCTTCCCCGCTTTTGTAAATACTGGGATAAGTATAAGAATGTAAGTATTACACAAGTTAAGCACATGTATGCTGTTTTATTTTATTATTCCTAGGCTAGGCCTAGTCTATTAGGCTATGGGGCTGTGCTAGGGAGCAACAATCTGTATTAGGGGCAATAATAACATACTGTCTAAACTGGATTTCTTGCTTATCCCTTCCTGAATTTTCTTGAATTAGGCCTAGGCTAAGTTAAGCAGGTACATCAAATTCGTTAATTACAAGAAAAAAATGTTCGGATTCCACTATAAACTGTAACTTAGGTCCTTTAGTTGCCATTTGCTGTATGGGCTATTAATTAACAGCTGTGTCTAAGGAACATTACAACACATCACATTACATTAGTCACTAACAAGACTACAAGATCGCGTCACTCATTCTACACTCATCCTTCTCTCATATTTGGGTTAAAATTCGCACATAGTGGCGTGCCCATCTTACATAATTGATTGGTTGGTAATTATGGGAATTAGTTTTATTCCCCTCCCATGAAAACATGTAGGGCCTATTCCATATGGTTAATAACAAATTTACAGGGTAAGCCGTAAGCCTAACTTATGTAAGTTAGTTCATAACATTCAGCAGGGACGTATTTTACTAGGCCTATCTGCTGCCTCTAGGCAGGGAATAAGTTAGACGCCCCTCTCCCCCACCGTCGTCAGTGCGCTCACCGACCACCGTAAAATTACCCCAATACATGCCCTGCCAGCTGTTTTTGTAGAAAATAATCGGCAATTGCATGCTGCATCAATACAGTAGCCTAAATCTAGCCTAATAAAATTTTGAACCCTCTTTTACAGACGTTTTTGTTTCCTCGTTTTTATGCAAAACGTGATTCTTTTTTGCATACATGGAATGCAATGATGTTGTATCCAATCAGGAAAGTCATAATGGCTACATCTACATTTGGACAAACTGATTGATGATCTTCTCTAATTTCTTTCAAAAGCCTTAGCAGAGGGATTTTATTAGGTTTTTTACTTGGACATTTGGACATCAAGTTCGAGTTTACCTAAGTTAATATAATTTTTGTTCTCATCTTAGCTGGGGTTTCCTTTATTTTTTAAGTCTTGCCTTGACACTTTCAATATAGGATTTATGGTGTAGGCCTACAATCTCTTTAAAGAAGCTATCTTCAACATCTGATAAGTGATCAGATCCATCACTAGCTTCTCTTAGTTTATGTCCATATTACAGATGTCAATGTCATACACTGACATTGTACGCGTACAATGTGCATTGTGACATTGTACATTGTGACATTGTACGCGCTGCTGCTGCGTAGTAACGAACGATAGCAGGGGGAGGTAGGCCTACACTATGCGTATGCAGTGGCCGGCAGCCCACTCCCGCGAGCCACGACGTGTCCGCAAGACCAACAGGGCAGCACGGAAAAGAAGGCAAAGCCATAGGCCTATAATGAAATTTTCGACTTTGACTTTAATGTGTTCTAAAATCATTTTATACTCAATCAAAGTTGGCCTATTAAAAATATCCTTTTCACAGTTTTAATTTCTCAACATTTAGTATTTTTTTTATTAACACCTTTTTGATAATTTATCTTACAACATTTTGCCGCCCCTAAAATTTGCCGCCCTAGGCGCACGCCTGGTCCACCTATTCGGAAATACAGTATGTCCCTGACATTCAGACCATTTGGAACTAATAATAACTCTCAGAATTTAAATGTATACCTAGCCTTCCTTAGCCAAAGTTGTGCTCCCTGATCTCTAGACTCCCCAAATTCTCAAAGCCTCTGGACCAGTTCAATATTTGACTTCTTCTAAAATTAACTCATTACCAGTCTCTGATTGGGTCTATTGACGACCAACTGGTGAAGGGATATCCGGTGCAAATTGATAGCCATCGCAACACAAAACTTATATATCTGACTCCATAGGATGTTCAAACATTAACATGATTTATTTGATCGATTACCAAAGTACTGTAGTACGTGATGGTGAGGGGGAAGATGAGAGCGGAAGGGGACGAATAGAATTTGCATTAGACACAAGCGACTGGTGCTAGACACGACTTAAGTGTACCATTGAATGTTTCCTTTCCTTAGTACCTTACTACTCTGCGATCCTACCAATTTTCCTTGAGCATGACTAACTTTTGGGCCTGTTTATAGGAAACACATCTTTAATATATAGTGATCAAGATTCTTTTTTACTAGGTAGGTACATTAGTTGTTTCAGCTAATTTTATGTTAGCCTAATTCTTCTAGGTATATGTTTGACACAGAGGCTGCATCTGTCACAAAAATGGCAGTGAAGAAGTGGACTATACGCATTTTTGTTCTGCTGTTTCAGCTTGCTCCAATCATGAGGTAGGTACCTAAATAATGGAATATTATCACCTGTTTTATTTATTGAGCGGTGCGAGCCAAGCTCTTATACGTTGACTTTTATGCATTTCGTAATACGCAAATTCCTCCTAGACGGCTAAAGCAATCATTTTCAAATTTTGCATGGTGATAAAGACCATATCGCTGAGTGCTAACATCTATATGGTGTTAAAATACCCCTGCCGCTGCAAACCTACAGACTAAGTGAATTTCCATTTGCCTGATCAGATTTGTAGGTACCTACAGTAAAAAGTCTCCTTAAACTATTTTCTCCGTAACCATTAGGCACATAACAATGCAACAAATTATAATTTTTTTTAAGCTCTTCAAAATGGTTTGGAAAGAAATTGTTAAATTTTATGTTTCTTGGGTCAAAAATGGGAAAACCCAATTTTTACCCTATAAAACACCCCATAAACCCCCGTTCCCATGAATAAATGTAGGTTTACACTTTTATACCAAATTTCATCAAAATCAGATAATTTTTTCTCGAGTTATCGTGCTAACGGACATATATATATATATATATATGGATGGTGTTTTTGGCCTCAGGACCTCAACACGAAAAAGTCAATCGGTCCCGGGTCTAGGTCTTACCATGAGTACTACGGTAATAGCTTATTCCCTTTATGGGAAATTCGTTAAAATTCTCTAAGGAATCCGCCCCACGGGCCGTCAAACTTTTGAAACAAAAACAAAGTCATAAGATCAACTGTTGACTTTAAAGGAATTAATGTAACTGTTGTCAAACATTAGGAACAGTTTGCATCATAAACATAAAAGTCACTAGCTCAAACCACTGATAACATTAACATATGGTTTGGACATTTTTTGACAGTTTAATTTAAATAACAATACAAACATGTTTGCTTTCGAGATAGTGGCATCATTTGTTTATGATCAATACAGTTTCTGTTATAATATTCGTGTTGTTAATCATCTTGTTATGAACTATCTAAGTGTGTGATTAATTTTTAATTTTAGTTTGAACATGTTTAAATATTTATTACTTATGGAATAAGCTAATTATTACGTGTATTTGTATAAGTGTTACGTTAGATTCTCTGACAGTAAGTATGAACTCGCACTGTTATAAATCGTATGATTTAGCCTATGTACATTTTCCTCAGAAATAATGTTTAAATACCAATCATTAGCCATCCAAAAAAATTTAAATGTTTGAAGAGCTTTTATGATTAAGCCTCTACACTTTTGTTTGTTATCAGGTATTGTGACTCGTTGGACTATGCCCTGAAGTCACGACGGGCTGAGCGTATCAAGGACCGTGTGAGTCAGCGCAGGTATTACGAACTGATGTTGAAGGAGGACTCAGACGTTGCATTGCTGCGAGTGTTTGAGTGCTTCCTTGAGGCGGCTCCCCAGCAGATACTCCAGGTGGCTATTGTACTTGTGGAGCGAGGACATGGATCTACTTTTCAGTGTGAGTAAAACTCTTGGAGAAATTAAGACTGTCTGAGATATCTGGTTCATCTTTTTCCTGGTTTTCTAGCTATCTTACTAACAGATTTCAGCATGTTTCATCAAAGATAAATTCAGAATCAAATATTTTTTTGAATAGAGCTTAGTAGGTAGTGTTCCACATGGATCAAAATTAGGGCCTCTTCAATTTACTCATTGTTGTGGTTTGCCCCTGAGCTGGTAAGACAAATATTAATAGTGGTTTATTTACCTTGTATTTTCGTCACAGCTCAAAAATGTTTTATAGAAGCTACAACCATGGTTTCGACGCCATTTGTGTCATGGTCACGTAGGACGTGCCGAGAATCAAAGCATAGTTGTTGTCACAGTCGGTCGCTTGGACGTCGTCAAAATCACATGAACACAAACACGAACACATACGGACATATTAACATTTAACAAAAGGTTCTCGGGGACGGAATACAGGCCTGTGTTTATTTAACTGTACCGTCGCGGGAGCCGGCTCAATGGAGTTGGCCAGGCTACTATCCATGATACAGAAGAACCATGAAAAATATCATCATTATTCTGTGAAAGCAGTGACAATGTAAAAAATGTTCGAAAATCATTGAAGAAGGGCGAGTTTCCTCAGGTTGAGGATGGCCTATATGCAAGGCTCATGAAAGAGTGAAATAGGCACATGCCAATATCAGGAAAAATTGTAAAACAAAAGGCAAAATATTCTATGAAAAAATAATGGGGAAAGACAATTTTAAAGCATGTGAAGGATGGCTTTAAAATTAAAAAAAACTTCTTGGCATTCGTTTACTGAGGTGAAAAACACACAGGTGACAGGTGAAAAACTTGTGATCTGGGCGCAGTCCACCCTTATATTGAAAAGTTTAGGGAAATCATTGAGGAACTTGGACTAACTCCTGACCAAGTCTACAATGCTAATGAAAGCTGGTTATTTTACCGTCTTTTAACAAAGAAGACATTTGTTCACCGTGCAGAAGCAAGTGCCCCAGGACGAAAACTGGCCAAAGACATAGTTACATTCATCCCAAGTTTGAATGCAAGTGGCGAACATAAATTAGATAGATTTATTAAAGATCGGTACGGCAAAGAATTCTAGGGAATTTAAAAAAGTCAACCTGCCTGTTGACTACAAGAATGAAGGAAGAGGGTGGATGACACAGTCTGTTTTTAAGGAATGGTTCCATCAAATATTTGTGCCTTCTGTGAAAAAATCCTTAAACAAGAAATCACCCCAAAAAGGCCGGGGGTATCCTTATATATAATACGTGAAGGCGATTTCTACAAAACACTACTCCTCCGTTAATAATGGACGGATTTTTACAAACAACGTGTCAAAATAAAGTATTTTTTGTGTAGACGCCCCCTTTCACCAATTCCTGTAATAAAAATCCTCGGGCTTTGCCCCATAGGCCATCAAAGTTGAATTTTCTCCCATAAGATTAACATGGGGAATTGAAATATTTAATTGGAAACTTTGTCCCCACTAATTTGAGAGATCGGCTGGGCGTAGGAACTTGGTAGGGGTGTCCAAAGAAAGGTCTTGGTCTGTAGATGAGTTATCAAAAGAAAAACTAAGCAAAATCACTTAGGGCTCTGCCCTAGAAGCTCCCTCCACAGAGTTGTTTACATTTTGGCCATGTGAATAATACTTTTTAATAAAACAGCTGTTCCTTTATAAATTGTATCTCAAACAACACACATTTATTGGGAGTTACTGAATTCTACAAAATAAGTATTTGCAATGCTATTTTCTGATTTTAAAATTGATTTTCCTCTTTATCATGTCATGTCATGTTTTGCATTATAACGTTCCATTACGAAACCAGTGGAAAATCCTTATTTCACAGCAATTCTTAAATTGTTTCTTATTGAACTATCTTATATATATTGTACGGGTTGGTGTCTGCCTTTCTCACCACTTAAGCCTACATTTTATCATATTATTCTACACATATCAAATATTTATGTAGAAATATCTGCTCTTATCGTGTCTAATAACATCCAAACATAGACACCTTGCCTAAAATAGTACCCATCTTGACAAATTATTTGCACCTCCCAGCTGCCTATAGGCCTATTAAGGACTTTGGCGCACTGGGTTGGTAACATTATTGAAAATAACACTACATTTGGGCTGTAAAATATGGTACAAAGAGAAAATACGATTTAAGCAGCTACTGTCATGACAGAAAGGTCATATTCCTTTTAAACTAGATCACATAACCCTTTATAAGATACGTTGATTAACATTATGTAAACGTCAATATATACGTAACAGCCAATTTACAGTATTTTTGCTTTTGGAAATGTCCCATTGCTATGTCATTTGCATTATTGGTTGCCAATGAAGCCACCAACTTCACTTCAAGTATTCCACTACACCTAACATTCCGTAGAGAGATTATTTTGACAACTTTATGTTATTGATAAGACTGAGACCCCATGTCAAGGAAATCCAGCTTTAACAGTAACCCCGCAATCAATTTCTCAAAACTATGCTAGAGGGTTCATTCATTGGCACAGAAGTACGATATGAACTGACGCCACGTGACGAAGGAAAAATCAATCTTACACTGTAACGGATATACCTCCCTTTGAAGTTAGAATATGTCTTCCCAAAAAATATTTTCTTTTCAAATAAAATCATATTACACTGATGAAATCACAGAAGTGTTTAACTACAACAGACCCACCAATACGATTTTAATACTATTTAAATGCAGTGTTGGGGAAGCTACTTTTTAAATGTAGCTACCTACAACTACTGCTACATTTCCAAAAAAGTAGCTTAGCTACAGCTACAGCTACAGTTCCGAGAAAGTAGCTAGCTACAACTACAGCTACAATGAAATGTAGCTAAGCTACAATTTTAGCTACTTTTCCAAAGACGTTACTTTTATTCCACGCACATTAGGTAAATGTAAAATTATTTGCAACTATATAAACCTAACATTACAACAACAGAACCAAAATAAGTTAGTTGGGTGTTCCATCATATTTAGTACTTATTTTTAAATATTGTATTATTTTTAAGCAAATTGCATTAAGTTCAAAGGACATACAACCAAACTATATTTTAAAAGCCCATTTTATTTCTTTAATAGGCTATACATTCATTTATAGGATATCTTTTATCAACTATTAAAAACAATAAAACTGTAAAACGATTATTTAAAAATACTTTTTATGTTTGTTATTGATAGATAGTATGATTGATTAGATTTTACAAAATTAAAAAGATAAAATTCAAGAGATGGTTTAATGAACATGATTTTTAAAGTACTGATAAAATGTAAACAAGTGAAGTAATGTAAATAGAGTATTAACAATATAATAAAACATATGATTTGTGCACAAAAGGCAGGCAGAACATAGTAATCAGAGAGAACGGGTCCGCGGAATTGGCTAACTCTGGAACTCACTAACCCCATGTTAAAACGCCCTATCTTCAAATTTGGTCGATGAGAGGAACTCGCTAACTTGTTCGGTTTCGGAATTGGCTAACTCCGGAACCCGCTAACCCGCTCTAGAGCCGGGTTAGCGAATTCCGTCCTCGCACGGAAGTCGCTAACTCGGTCCCTCGGCGGAACTCGCTAACTCCCAATCAGGAGCCTCGCGAGCCGTCCAATGGGAGCCAAGCACGAATATTTTTGGCCAGTGTTGCCGAAAGTGTAGTACCTATATCGTATCGGTACCATAATGTCGTATCCTACGATTAATTAGGAGTAAGAGCAACGTAGTCGATAAAATAAATATATTCAGAAGTATGTTTAACATTATTCCTATGATTATTATTGTGGAAAATGCATTATAGTCTTACCATAGACTAACCAACACAAGTAAACTTTACATCCCATTGTAAACTTTGAAGCTCGTTTTTCGTGTCTAGTTCATGTCCGGTGACACTGATCGCTAGTGTCGACAAAATTGTGTTTCTATTATTTTATAGTTAACTTCATAATTTGTTCTTTACTGTTTGGTTATATAACTAGGGGACGTGTTACTAGGTTATTAGTTGTGATAAGAACGTTTTATTTGGTTAAACGAGGTTTTAAATTACTGAAAACAAGAAACAATTGTAAACAAAACACGACCTCTAAAGACAGTGCACCGGACAGAACTAACAATAAAACTGTCTTCAGCTAAGGATGAGAAATGTACTAATATAAGGGAGTATGTTTTATATGTGGGTTTCTTATTTAAATAGTAGCTTATTGGTATGCAAAAAGATAAAAATGCACATTTAATTTGGATCTATTACATGTTATTAAATATCTATTTTCGTAGTCCGCCATTTGTTTCTTTTATTCGAATAAATACCATTTTGTAAATTGCTGCAAATAAAATTATTGAGTTCGTATTTTATATACTGGGCTTGTAACCTTGAATCATAAATCATAATAAAATTTACACGTTAAACGTCATTAAAGAATTACATTGTAGTGGTAATGTATTTTTAAATAGAGCTATTGAATTTAAATAAATATTTATCAATACATTATAAAGTGGTAGGCCTAATGTATTCATCGATTGCATTAAAAGTTAGTCTATGCATAAATACAACTTGTAAATTTCTTTTATCGTAGGCTATTAGTGTAGACCCGGGGTCATCCTCTTAATTTTGTTGAATTAATATTAATTTTACGTCTTTCAGTAGGCCTACTTTTTAAAAGTCTGGAGTTTTTCTCTAGGCTGATTCTAAATGGACCCAGGCGTTCTTGTTTGTTACAATTCTATGAATTGGTGGCCATAGCTAAAATTACTTAATCTTATCCAAAAACAAGCTATTGTCTATTGTGAAGCTCAGTACTGGGCAACGGTGAACCGAGCAATGGCTTGGAATAGTTTATATCGATTGTGAAAGCAATATAAAGGAAACCCAACACTCAAATCAGGAAAATCCGTCAATTCGTTTATTAAGAATCGTGAATTAAAATTACCGTGTCACGTTTTATTATATGAATATTATATCTTCTACTATTTTTTACTAGTGGTGCTTAGGTGTACAATCTAAAAACGGTTTTATAACATGTAACATAAATCTGTTTTCCGTGTTTAAGAACTTGCGTGTATTTTAGCTTAGTTTCGTAGAGGTTTAAAATGAATTTTTATAAATTAAATGTTTATTCTTCATATTAAGTTTACAAAAGTGTGATTATTCACATAAATACCCTATGCAAATTTTTTTAAATCAATACATTTGTATAAATAACAAGTAAAATATTACTATGGCTAAAAGTTATAGCAATGTCGTTTTTAACATTAAAAATAACAAAAGGTAATAAACTCCAATTTCAGTAGGCTAGGCTCTGTAACACTGTTAGAAGTTCTCTCGAGACGTAGGAATTGGCTAACTCAGGAACTCGCTAACTCGGTCGTGTGTCGGAACTGGCTAACTCTGGAACTGGCTAACCGTCTCAGTCAGGAATTGGCTAACTCCGGAACCCGCTAACTCGATTTTGTCTCGCGGTGGAATTCGCTAACTCTGGAAGTCGCTAACCCGGCCGCGCCCACTGCACGGAGCGTTGCCAACCTTGTACGACAAAATAATCGTACACTGCCGTATTTCAAAAAGTCAGTGTCAATAAAGATACAATAAATGTTATTGTTTTTTGTTATCAATTCCACTTTTAACAGATAACTAGCCCAAAGTAATTCAAAGACAATTAAAAAATCATGAAAAAGTGTTTTTTTTTATTAAACTGTAAAATGGCCAGTTAAATGTTTATGATTTCGATCTTAAATATAAATGCCATCAGTATAAAAGAAAATGAAAAATATTGAAATTTCAGTTTAATTGGTACTAAATAATTAATGTTTTGTGACTGGTACCTTATTAGCATATTGATTTCCAAAACAGCTTGAAAAAATTGCTGAAATCTTGTTTTTAGTGCACAAGTTGCAAACCTCGAGAATGTAAAATTTTCACTTATTATGACAATTCTTCCCATAAACTCTTATTCCCCTATATTTTAAGAGGAATTCCATTAGGAATCCTTTATGTTTATTGTAGATATTGTTTTTACTGTAACATTTTTGTGATCGTAACATTGTTGGTGATAGTGCTACATCAGCTTGGCTCAATAGCCAGTTCGCTGCTGTCGATGGCTTGGTCCATGGCCTCCTACCACAGATCCATCCGGTTTTGCCAGAAAGATAAAACCAATCTAACATGGTCTGGGACAGCCATGCAGTTTCTCTGGCACTTCATGATCACAGGTTAGTGAAATAAACCTCTACCATTATTTAAGGTTTATTTTTTTTAACAGTAAGGTTATTAAGAGCTTATGTTTGTAATAGTAAGAGGTGCCTTTTAGGTATCCCTCTATTTGCAAACTCACAAAACAAATTTTATTGCAACTATTGGTGTGTCGATAGTTTCATTAACTCGTCAAGGAAAAAGTGGTTGCATAGTTTAAGCTAAAAAAATAAACAAATAAGCTACAGGGAGAGTTTGTAAATGCTCAAGTACACACCTGGCAGTACAGTGCACTTGCTTGATAACTGATGTTAAAGAACTCTGAAAAAGGTTGACTCTGCCGGCATCTTAACATGCTACTCGTAGGATTTTGAATTAACTAGATCTTAAAACTTAAAAGCCATGATACCCTGGCTATTCTTATTTGCTTGTGCATAAGGAACAATTAAGGTTAGTTTATCATGTAGAAGGAATGATTTAATTAGAGAAATGCTTGTTGTACAAGCCTACAAGTGTACTTATTTACTTGCTGACTTGCTGAACTTGTAGGAGCTCACCGGGTCTTTACATGGCAAAAGAAGGCTCTCAGAATTATGTTTGAAATTCCGGATAGTTGCAAAGCATTTTTTGCTGAAAATAAAATCATGACACTCTCTAATATTTTCATTTTTTACAATTTAGTTTCCGTTAAAGAGAATCTGAATAAATTTGTTCCTTGCAACTCAATCCATGGGTATATCACCAGACAATCAAAAGATTTATATATTCCTCAAGCCAGGCTATCAAAATTTATCAAAAGTTATAAATATTTGCAAATAAAACTATTTAATAAATTTCCAATATATTTTAGAAATCAGGAAAGTATTCATGTGTATAGGTCAAAATTATCAGATTGGCTTACAAGTCGTGCTTTTTATTCAGTTGAGGAGTTTTTGCAGAATGTAGATTTTTCAACGCTTAAATGTGAGGCCAAGCAGTCTTGATGATTCTTTGTTCTTGTTATGGTCTTTTCCCTGTTAATTTCAAAGTTTTTATTATTACTGATGCTTTATCCTTTTAAGATTCTTTCAACTTTATTTTAACATTTTCTGTAGAATATTTAATATTTTATATAACATATGTAACAAAACATGTTGACCTTGTCTATTGTAATGTTTATATTACCAAACGACAATAAAGATTTATTATTATTATTGTAGCCTTGCCCTATGCCCTGCTCATAATTGTGTGAGATGTCGTGTTTTTGTTACTGGCTCAGACTGGCCGATCTAGGATTACTAATTGAAATCCCAATGACTATAGAGTTATCTCGTTCCACTTTTAAATCATGAATTATGTCACAGATTTACTCCAGCAACCATTGGATTACTAAACAAGTGATATAGTACATCAGTATATTGAGATGCCATGTAACATTGTTTACAGTATCGCGCATCCTTTCCATATCAGCTGTAGCGAGTTCGTTCCCCATCTGCACTGGCGCAGCATGCGCCGTTCACTGGCTGCTCATGACACTCTGGCTCTCCATATTCGAGCGCACACAGTTTAGCCTCATCAATGACAAATCTTCACGGAGCGAACGACTCTACGAGTTTGTTTTCTGCGCCATCTTGGGTCTTGTCTACATTTTCACTTATTTAACACCATCTGACGGTAAATATTTTATTACATCATTTACTCTGTAGCAACTGTGTCGATTAATACTTTCAGCTTGGACTTCAAGATTATATTTACTTAAACAAGTTTCAACCTGATCTTAAATTAAGATAAATAACCTCTGTTATTCTTTTGACTCATTTGGAACAGAAATACCACTGAAGTTAATGAAAATTGTCCTATCCATATAATTGAAATTAGAGTTTTTTTTTCTGTACATTGCTCAGAGTTATAAACTTTTTGGTTATTTTTAAATTTTTTACATTAAAGAAGTTGAAACAAGTCTTATCTCAATTTCCATCTGTCTGTCTGTCACGGCCAAGAAGGCATTTTACACAGCCTTATCCTGAAAAACGAGAGCATCGATTGGGATTCAAGTAGTCTTTTTATATTCTCTGGATTGGCAAAAGTGTCTTTAGCCATAAAAATATGGCCTCACAACTTTTGAAATAAAATAACTGACGTTCAAAAACCTAATTTTGTATGATTTTTTTTTAGTTTTCACCAATCTTTACCACATATTATGTCATTTATGAAATACTAATCATCTGTTTAAAGAATACATCATCTATGAAATAACGATCATCTGTTTGGAATTTTGATAGATTATTTTTTCTAGCTGTCACTGATATGTTTACATTAAATGTTTGCAAATAAAGTTTGCAATAATGTTCATGACTCTGTTACATTTTCTAGTTTATAGTTTTCTTTGACAATGTCTATTGCACAACCGTGTCTAATGACAATAAAGGATTCTTATTCTTATTCTTATTCAATGGTGAACTAATTTATCTAGTGTGTGAAGCAGCTTTCAATTTTACCTTAGGGCTATGCACCATAGATCTATAAAGCTGTTTTTTTTTAGTTTTTTTTAGTTTACATTAGTTATATAGACTGACAAGATTTATATCTGGGTGACATTTATTTGCTAATTATTTGTTTTGGATTATAACTGTCAGATATTGTATTTGCGAAGGTGTATGTGTATTCCTATAATAGTTGTGCCTGCATATTTGGAAAAATTCACACTAAATATGCAAACCAACTGCTGTTCTGATTATAAGAAGGTTTCAGCTAGCTACAAGATCCCCATCCGAAGAACGGGTACACAGCTATTTTGACATATTTTTAGTAACTTTAAGTTATTTTCTGAGCAGGAAGTACCAGGAACCGGTATCTGATCTACTACCCGATTTGCTTCGTAGAGAACGCAGCAGCTATCACAACTTGGGCTCTCACTGCTGACTCTCGATTGCAGTCATCGTGGTACTTCCTTCCATTCTTAATCAGTGGGATCGTCCCATTCCTGCTCGGGATCGTGTTCATGATCCTGTACTACAAGTTCTTCCACCCGGAAACGTCTAGAAAGGTAGGGGTGTCTTTGTACACAGCGAAAGAACCTATTACAGATTCAACCACACAAACGGACACATGTAAAAATGAAGAAACGCGCAATCTCGAACCCGTACTTTGATGATTCGGTTGTTGATAGGTTGACCAGTTGCATTGTTGTTTTTATTATAACTATGAGCACGGAAATAGGTGAGTAAGAGAGATTTTTTCCAGAAAGTAAACCATAGATACAAGTGCTATCCAACTTATTTAGCTTATTTATTTATTATTTTACAAATTTTATAGTCTACAAAATACTACTGTATTTCCTATGTATGTCATTGCATAGAATTTTATAGGTAGGGTTTCATTGAGCTGGAAAAAATCTTTATTACTTGCTGTTTTTATGCTCTGGTCTGTAGGTTCCTATTTAATTGAGAAGAGTCCTTTTTCATTTTTTTCTGAGTGAATGAGAAGTTAAATTCGGCCTCTGACTAGATCTTTGAGTTCTATTGTTTAGTTAGGTTATGCTAGTCTATTTGTTTAGTTGTATCTATCCAGTTTCACTCAGGCTTTATCATGCATAGTTCCACTTTTTACATGGATATATGTATGAATCATTGTAGTGAAACAATCCTCAGAGAAAGATATGATCTTTTACTGGGCCAATATTAACTTATTTATTTTATTTTTTATCTATCTCCTTAATTCTTTTATCTTAAAGTAAAGTCCTTATTGTCCATCCATAATGTTCCAATAAATACTGAGAAGAACCTTTAGTGTTAAAACTTAGGCAAATAAAACCCTATTATATGCCTTGTTCTTTTTACATTATCTAAAAAAATGTGGTGCTCAAATTATAAAAAAAAAATACATTTTGAATAACTGAAATAAAACTATTGTAAGTTAAATATCTGTTCTAAAATGTACTTCAACGCCAAAATATGCCAATCCCTTCAAAAACCAATCATGTTGACCCTTGAATTTTCATCAGAAGTTCATGTACAAGGATTTAGTCAACCTTAGATTGTACAATTTGTTTGTATAGAAGTATGAAATACGTAAGTTACATTGAACAGTAATTTAAATGCCAAAATATCGTTAAACACTAGTAAATTCTATGGTACTATCCACAAAGTTACCCACTAAGAAGATTTTATGCATATTTTTTTACTCTTCATAATTTGGGGTGAAATCATGTCCTCATTGGGTTTTTAAATACATGATCCAAATTATTTTGTATTTGCTCCACAGGGACATTATTAAATAAATATGGATATGTTAAACATATATAATTTATGAAGTAATATTAGCTACAATAGAATAATATTTATGTTTTATACCTCATCATTCTAATCTAAATTTTGATCTATAAAAATAGGCACCGGTACATTTAAAAGTGTGATTGATTATAGTCATACTTAATTATTAGTCCATGATCTTTCCTATTATATTGGTTTCATTTTATACAAATTATATTTTGTGATTCAAATAAGATTTTTACCCAATAAATAGCTGCTCATCCAGGAATTATTTATCCAGGAAAGCAGTCATTTTTGCTTGCTCCTGGGTAGATTTGAAACTAGAATCATCGACACACAGATATAGCCCACTTCTATGTTTACCAGTTACAGTATTATTTGGTTGTAGTGCTCGCCTAGAATCACAAGGTTGCCGGTTCAATCGTGAGAAAAGTCAGTAGCTTTTTGAAAATTCGAAACTAAGCCCAGCTGTTCGTCATCATTGGGCTTTTATTAAATGAACTTTGCTGTTACATTTTGCTCTACATCCATACTACATTCATATTTTGTGTTAGTGCACACAGATGCGCCGTCCCATTTTAAATAGCATTAACACTAAAAAGGTTCCAAATAAACTCTTTTGGATCTCCATTATTTAATGCTTTTTACAACAACATAATTCAAGAACGAATTGATGCTGTTTGGCCTCCATAAAGTTTTTAAAGTGTTTTTTTCTTGAAAATACATATTAAATACTTATTATACATATTAAAATACATACATAAATACATATTAAAGGCCAGTAGTAAAGGATGAATGACAAGTTTGTCGTGTGCCTGACACCTAGGAACATAGTCCACTCCTGCTTTATCAATACCCAAGAAGTGGTAGTTAGGTTTTGCTGGATTATTGTTTCTGTTTTTTTTTCTTACTGCAAATTCTTAGAATACAAATGCCTAAGTGCTATGTTTTATAACCTTTTATTGTATTGTGTATTTATGTTTGTTAGCCCTGGGGCTCTAATTCACTATGGTAAGTAAAACACGGCCTGCACTGAATCGACTACGGCTCGGCCTTACTTACCTGGCTCTGGCATTTTACCCGTGCACTGCACCGGCCATCCGTTTGACACCAGTCGGAAATACGTGACGCTCAGTGATTGTTTACCATCTACAAATATGTAAAAACTACACATAATTAAATAATTTGTGTTCATAATTAAAAACAAATGTGTTAAATTAGCCTAAATCAGGTTATTATGATTAAATTATTGTTTATGCTACATTATTATGTACAAACATTAAAGTTTTCGCGCCGCAAACTGGCAAATTGGTGATCGCCACCCTTAGCTATATCCTACTGGTTAATCTGGCCCTGTAGGTGGCATAAACATGAATTATTGGAGATGGGATCTATAGTTGAAATATTGGTATTTAGGGCCTACTGACAGATATTACTAAATAAGATTGTAGGTTAAAGCAAAACGGAGCAGTCTGTTTATTAGTATATAATTCAAATCAATATTTATTTAATGGGCCATCAAATTTACAACAGTTCTAAAATTAACTTATTATTTTACAACTTACCACTAGTATTTGCTCTCCCCACCAATCTGGCGAGAGGTCTCAGTCGCTCCTAGGACCGACCGACGCCGAAGCCGAATTGCTCCGTATAGGGTGCGCCGAGCTTGACCGGTGTAGTGTGCTGCGTCTCATTTGATTATGTGTATTTTAACATTTAAAAAAAGCCGTAGTCGACCTAGTCGACTCAGTGCGCGCCTTGCTTTAGCTAAACTCCATTCCATAAAAAAATCCATAATAATAATAACAGGTGTAGTTGTCAAAAAATCCTCGTCACACCATCATATACCTTGACAAGTCCTGTAGAGTTTGAACAGAGCTTGATCCATCCTTGCCAAATTAAAACTAAAGGAGGACGAGTTGATAAGTGGCTAACTGGCTTGTTTTCCTCGTGAGCTACCTAGTTCACAGCTGCTTATAGCATAAGGGACAAGTAGGGTTAGTCTCTTTAAGTTGGAGGAAAGGAAAAGGGTAATAGCGAGAGTTGTATGGTCTACTGACCCACAAGCAGTCTTACTTGCTGGCTAGTGGCTAGCTGCTGGCTAGTTTACTTGATGTTAGTAAACTTGACCTATGTAATCGAGGATTTGGCAAACACTCCATTAAACCCTAAATAATTTCTGACTATTACCTGCTACCAAATTTAATATTCTCAATTTTGATTTTCACCCACTAATTTTTTATCTACTTCTCTTCCTCCCAGTCAAACATCTCATTATTCAAATTGTTTTGCATGTTGCCTTACAACTGCTATCATAACAAGAAAAAAAAATTAGGTGTAGGGTGTCCAAGAATAAAAGTAAATTAAACAACCTCTTCAATTACCAGAGTATCTTTGGAGTGAGCCTAGTTGAAGTCCAAATCAAAATATATAAATCAATCTAGTCTGAATTGTGATCAAATTAGTATGTTTTAAGATATAAGATTGTAGCACCAATAGGTTCTAAACAAGTATTAAACTATCAAGTGTTTTGTTTTTTTCAATGTTTTGTCTCCCTCATATACTTATTTAAAATTATTTGAAAAAACAAAAACATTATATAATTTGTAATTGTTTTTTAAGATGGGATTCGTACAACTTTTTGTAATTATATTACATTGTATAATAAATATTGCGCTGTGCCTAGAATTTTGATTTTTTTTCAGTGAAGAGATATTGAAACTGTCATAATAATCTCAATGTAACTTGTAGTCTATGTCTTGAAAGTGCAGGATGGGAAAGATGAGAAGTAATGAATTTAATTAATAGTTTCAAATTAAATAAAGATTTAACTTGATTCAATTGTGATATTTATTTGAATCTACTATGTGTTCATGTTGATGTGTTTTTTTATATTATCATTTGGATAAATTACAGACAGGAACTACTCCCCATTCAGAACTAAATTGTCTTATTTCCTTGAATAAATCATCTTTTACTACCACCAATAACAATTGAAGTTTTACTTTATGTGTCAGTTCTAAACCAATTTTACTCTAAGTAGGCATTTTTATAGACATTTACAACATTTTAACCAGAAAACAGGGTGGTAGTGATTTAATGGAAAAGGTCCACATTTCTTAATAAATAGAATATTTTGCTTGAACTCATTTAGCTTATCACAAGTTAGATCAATTTTTAAATTGTCTCTAAAAATATATTGGGAACAAACCAGTAGAAAACTGCTAAACCACTTTTAAAACCAAATTACCTTCTCACATTTTGTACAGATAGACTGAATGTAATATTTTAATAGTATATTAATTTTGTGTGTGTAAGACATGCATTATGAACATATTGAGAACAATATATTTTAGTAAGTAAATGTACATATTTACTAAGAATTGTACTTAATGTTTTAATTGCATTTACTGTTATTCCCTCTGACAAAAAGAGCGTGAATTGCATTTCCTCTCAAATTGTTACTTGATATTAGATAGTTGAGAAAATTATATTATACTGTTTAAATCTAGCTGTTTAAATTTACTGGCTTAAAAATCGTTTACGAATTAGGAATTATTAGGTAGATTTAGAGTGCAGTATTTAATTTGAAATAATGAACAATCATATAGAAACAGAACAAAAACTAGACATACTTAACTTTTAATATACTCAATTGGTTAATTTTTTTAATAAAACCTTAATAAATTGTAGATTTTTGCCAGTCATTAAGTAAGGTAGTTTAAAAAAAAACAATTTGTCCAAGCTTTTTAGTGCAACAAACACATGGTAGTCTGCAAAAGCTCTCTAGGCATGACTAAGAATTATTGTAAACATTTTGTATTTTATTTTTTACCTATTTAGAAGACAAGCCAATGTATTACATACCGGTTTTATAAACAAATAAACATATCTTGACAAGAAACTACTTTTAGTTTGTTTCCTTTACACCCAGTGCTTGATTTCCAGGTATTGGTGTGTCAGAACCTATGGAGAAGTGTAAGCCATCCCTATTATCTATATAATTAATACGCCAACACGAAACTTGTCCTTTGAACTCCTTTGCCATTTCTTAACCGATTTTGATCATGTACATCTCATTAGAAAGAGCATGTTGCGTAGATTTGCAAACTGACCTTAAACTTGTGAAAAAGTCCTTGGGTTCTGCCCCAGTGGCTTTTAAAGTTCCCATGTTAATGTCATCGTTGTGAAGAACATATTTGTTTACATTATGATCAGCTGGATAATTTAATTGCTGTTAATATTTAAGCTGTAATTCAACACAAATTAAATTGTACTGACCTGGTTTATAGACACAGTACTGTATTTCTTGAAAATCATTGGCTTTCAAAATACCTACTTTGTATGGTCGCCATTTCAATAAAAAGTATTAAAATATTGAAAGAACCGATTTGAACCGATTTTAATGGAAACATAAAAAGTCATAGAACTCCACCAAGAGAAGAAATAGAGATAATGTTTTTAAAGAATTTATCATCGTTACATCGTTATTAGCCTATATAATGACAAAGGCCTACAAGATGAAGATTTCTACAATTGATGAACGAGGATGTTAGCCGAAGTGCTACAATTTTTAGTAGGAAACGTGGACTTAACTTTGTGATCATTGCAGAGGAAAGCCCTCTAAGGCTAAATAAATCTGATATGTCAAGTACATTTAATATATGTTTCCATAAAAGTCAAGTGATTTTAGAAGAATAGCCTATGACTATATCCAAGGAACTGTTACTAACATTTTCATTGATGGATTTAATTACAGTTAAGGGAAACAAAAACCAACAGAACATCAGGCTGTTTACTCTGAATTTTTTTAGGTAAATATAATTAACGTTATTGCAACTAACCAAAAGATCACCAATTGAACAAATACAAGTGTAACAGACAAGTTATGCAGGAAGTCCTTAAGGTAATGAGAACAAAAATTTATCTTTATTAAAAATGACTGAAATTTGTAACTTACTGCTGGCGACAAGCGTGGTACCTTGCAGGCTACATTATCAATAACAAAGATAAACATGGATAACCTTATACGGCTATAATTCAGGAAATGTTTGTAGAAAACACTAAATAACAATATCAGCTTATGAAATATGATAAAATATTTATTGAGCGGAGCGAGCGAAGCTCTTTGGGATCAACTTCAATGCAAACAATATAACACCATCACTCAATAACGGCTGAACACATTTCAGCCAAACTTAACAAGACTACTTAGACTAATAATGAGATGGTTTGTAAACAAACAAATTTCAATTAGATAATGCTAATGCAATTTAAAACGAACTTAAAATTTCAAATTTTTAACATTAGGCTTATGGGACTAAAGTAGCTATGACAGTTTTTTTGTTTACAAGAAAAATGTAAACAAGAGAATCATAAGGTATTTCTGAACTTTCTATACTTTTCTTTTAAACGTTTTTAAACCATTCCTATAATTTTAATAAACAAGAAAATGCCGTTAAAACATTTTTTAAGGCGCGGAATTCACTGAAAATCGAGAAATTATACGGAACTACTTTCTCAATGCGCGGAGCATAAACAAGGAGCAGAGGGATAGGGACCGGTGACTACTTTCTTGGGAACCTAGGTTCCTAGGTTATATAGCTATTTGTGTTGCCAGCTGATTAGAAACAGCCAATGTTAGAAATCAGGATTTAATAAGCGATATATCGAACCGCATCGAAATCGGTATTTAATCCGATAATACCTCATAGGTTATATTAAGTTGAATTACATCAACGGTACAGTAAGTTATTACACTTATTGATGAAACGCAGATTGAACACTGATCTAATTTAGGCAGGTGGGGAGGTAGGTCGGGGTTTATGAGTATTCGTGACTACATTAAGTGTTTTGAAGTAAGGTTAGATTAGGAAGGTAAAGTTTAGGTTATAGGTAGGTGATCGGGTTGTTTATTTGTGTTGCACCATATAGTTTTTATCTTTTGGAATGGAATAGTTGGTTAAGGTTAAACGGGGAAACGATTTCAAAAATGCTTGCATATGGTCTTAACTTAACAAACCATCTACAGTATTCTAGCTTTGACTTTATATAAAGTCAATGATTCTAGCAAATTATTACATACTGACCAAAAGAAAAGAGAACATTTGGTTTTGGATCTTTGACCATAGCAAAACTAACATATAATTTATGGAATGTGAAAAGTTGGATATCATTATATACTATTCTGTAATATTAATAATTGTTCGGCAAATCCTCATTTTAATGGCTCGGCTGAAAATGGAATCTGCATTTTGTGAAACAGTTATTTGGTAACAATTCAGTCATTTCAAATGTTGATAAAATTTCCTTTCTCTTTTTTATACTTTAATGCCCTTTTTGGATGTTAATATCAGATTCCAACTACTGTAATATTTTCCTGGTCAAAACTACCTTACACTTCTCGAAGAGGTAAATTTGAATTATTATAATTTTAATCTTTAAAACCAGCATTAGTAAATAAATCTATTGACCTTTTTGCATTTAGTTACTTATACAAATACCAAATCACGTTTGTTCCGCTCAACTGGCTTTCACCTCTCTGAAAGCAACCCTAGTAGGAAATGTTGATTATATCGAACTATTATATACATCGTGAGTATTTCCATGAGTTACACACCTTGGTAATATTTGAAATGACTTTTTTAAACTCATTGTAATGATGACTGTTATTCGTTTTGAAATAACTTTTGTAATACTTTGCAGTTTCTCGAATTCGAGCAACATGTACACTAGTTTCAATAGTAGCACAAAGACAGTAACAGAATTCATAGGATCAGTACTTTTAAACATCTATAAACCAAACCTTGTTATTCTGAAACCCGGGTTGACCAAAATTAAAATCAATTAGAAAATAAGCTAGGTAACAGGAATTGTGTGCCGTGGCTTTGGTTGTTGGTGCAGCCTGGTCAGCGAGTGTAATGGAGCAGAGGATGACACAAATTTCATACCGTGATAGAGATTAAACCCAGAAAACAATAGTTATTATTTTAACCTTTACCACGCTGTAGATGAATATACTCGCCGAAATTCCCTTTGCTCTAAACACTATGGACGACTATACTTGCCCTTTAATACAGAGTGCATTGGCTGGTCTTGGTAGTTCCCAGTTTTGCCGATAGAGAGCAGCTGCTATTAGGGAACATCTCTGGTTTTGGAAAATCACAATAACAACATTCCCTGCCCTCCGATTGTTCAAAATGGTGGCGCGCTACACTTGCCGGTCTCTGCTATGAAAGACGACAGCACAGTGGACGGACTAACTAGCAAGTGTTAAGTTCACTCACATACTCTGTGGAAAACTTTGTTTGTTATTATATTGTTTTTTTATTGTTGTTATAATCATTATTTTTAAAAATCAGTTTTGACTTTTGGGAAAACGTAGTAGATAGTTGTATGTAGCCTTACGATCAAGGCCATCCAACATGTCTGTAGCGCGGTAGGGGTTAAGAAATAAATGCGTTTTGTGTTTTTATTTTCAGTTGTAGATTTTAAGATGACAATTAAATAATGTAAAAATAACTGTTGTCGATCTCTTTGAACTCCAACCATTGGTTACATAAAATGTCTTCTCCCTCTTATTTTAGTTAACAAAGGGCTTTCTATATTTTTTAGGATAAAAAAAAACATCTCCAGAATGGTGGTGTTGGAACACTGTTCTGCTGTGGTCTCCCCCAAATCAATACACAATTTCCACTATCCAGTAAGCCCATACATTAATTGAAGAACACACTTTTAGTGTATGATCACAGAAAACATGCAAAAACTATCACTCATTAAAAGCATCATTACAGTTATGCATACGGTAAGTCTCTTCTGTTTGTAGAGCTGAGCTGAAATTAGGTACCCTAATGGAAAACAAGTAAATGATGTTTTTTTCAAGCATAGCCCATTTGTTAACTACTCTTATTTACTGCATGTAAAATGTAAGTGCTTTAATCCATCCATCATACATTCAATGACATTGATGGATAAAACTTTTAGACTTGTCCATTATGTAATGTTTTATATTTTTAACGATGTTCATAAGTTAATCCAACATACTACTCACATAACTTCATTTTGTCCTCCTTTGAAAATATTTTCATTGATCAAGTAAGTTGGATTACACTTTGCTTTTGAATTAATAATAGGCTAATAATTAATAATAATAGTCCACCTTTATTGTGTGATTGCATTTCAGTTGTGCTTCTTCACAACTAAATTTCAATGTTTATTTTTATTTTGAACTAGCAGCAAAACCCAGCTTTGCCGGGGTACACACAACAAGCTCCCCCCTTGAAAAAAATTAAATTTAGGTCCTAACTTCATCATTAGTTAGAGTATTGCATTACTTTAAGATCTCATGTTTTGTACATATTTCACAAATAGACTCCTACTGTATAAATCAAAGCTTTTTAAAATTATTATTCTCAGTTTGTCTTCCAAAATTTTATATAGACTAAGCCTATGTGACTACGACAACTACCATGATTTAATTTTGGAAAAAGTTAGTTTATGACTACACACATGAACTTTCACAAACATTAAAGCCACATTATCGCAAATTTCACAGATATATACATAAAATAAAGGATGAGAAATCTATTTGGAGTATCCAGAGTAAATGCTAGATGGAACCGGTCCTACATTTCAATATTATGAATCATAAATTCAACTCTTAATAATATAGAAATAGTGCTAAAGAATTCTGCTGATTACTCCAAAAATAAATTGCCCAGGATTGCAGCATACTTCCATACCCTAGCACGAAGAAAATAATGCCAACATCTTTTATTTCAGGTATTTGCGTGCTTAAAAATTCAACAAAGATGAAATCAATTGTATGTCTGCAAAATACAACACACTGTAGGTTAACTAATTTATTTTTGATTTTGTGAGAAGCCAGAGTCTAGT